TACGTGAAATGAAGATGGATGATGCATCAACGGATGGAAGCCATCGAAACGTAAACTTTCTTTTTGATCATAATAAATATAACTCACACACACAACACAAGTGCGCTGCGTAGTAAAGAAAACAAAAAATATCACAAAGGACACGTGGTTATTGTCAATTATCACTTGCACCATGTTTACTACCACGTATAAATCAGTTATGAAGTTTTGCTATAATCTAATAGGTATGTTCATATGCATCACACATTTCTATGAATAACACCGATAGTCTATAACAAACATCCGTTCTGTGAACGGTGTGCCCGAAGACATTGATCGAGCATGAACCTATACTTTACAAATAAGATATTGTTTATCGATTAAGATAAGGCGATGTTTCAGTGACGACTACTCTAACCGTAACTGATAAACGAGCGGTGCGCTAAAGCCAATTTTTGAAATGTTAGCTGATAACGTACTATTTAGCCGACTCCAAAAAAGAGGCGGTAAACAATGAGGGCTAATAATCTTCCACTCACCAGATGTCGCTAGTTGTGACTGAGGTGAAGTTTTTTGTTTCACAGTGTCAGTTAATTGAGAAATTAGTTTTAAATAATAGTTTATCATTATCTTTAGTATTATATTAATACACAACATAATGCGTTAGTGGTTTGATTTTTAATTTTTTGCACTTTATAACTCTTTTTTTTTAAATCGGCTTTTAGTTATATTTATAGTTCGGTTTATTCATTTCTAACGTAATTAATATAATATATAACTAATAATACAGAAAGAAACCTTAAAGATTACATTTTCCTAAGAAATTATCGTCCCCGCTATGAAATCTGTCAAATATTTTACCTCACTGTAAAGTGACGCCGCCCTGGTGGCAGAAAAAGTCGTGGATGCCCTCATTCGACTGTATGTTTTTGTTTGTATCTGACGCGATATCTTCGTCAATTATGAAGTGATTTTGATCATTATTTTTTATGGAATAGATTTTACTTTAGAGGTGGTACCTCTAAAAACAGGAAGTAGAGTTTTCAGCTTGGTATAGTTATGATGCAACTGCTTTATGGTTGTAACACGAATGGGACCGGGGAAGGACTACGCTCTCACAGAATATGTGTTTCGTATAGTGGGTCTAGAAAACCGGAAACCCTTTTTATTAAATACGAGGTATTCTGTCTTTGCCCTATGGGTTAACAACATATTCTTTTCCATCGCATGCTGAGTTACTTTGAGCTACCTCATACCTGAGGAATATCGGACACAAACATTGCTCGCACGTCGTTATCTTAGAACAGGTTACCTAGTAAAGTAAAAGTAAAGTTACGTCCTATATGCTAGTCCCACTGCTGAGCAAATGCCCACTCTCTTTTTTGGAAATTTTGACGGCTCCATGGCGCATTGTCTTAGTAATTAGTTGCAGCGCTAAAGTACGAATCCCGCACGGAACATTCTGTATTTTGATTATTAATGGAGAATAAATGTAGATTTCTATAGGCCACAGTGTCCAGTCACCATCATGTGGACTGTGTGCTCGATAGTCACCCTTATTCTAAAAAACTTAACAAGTACTCCAAGTGTGAGTAGTCCACTCAAAAAGGTAAAAATTATCAATAAATCAAAAGTAAAAAGGGAAGATTATATTTGATTAGTTCTTTATACTATGTCGTGGTATAGACTTCAACATTTGAAGTTATTTTGTCCATTTCAATTCATTAAAGTAATTTTTTGTCTATTTGCTATTAGGGTTCCGTACAGTTGATAAAAACCACTTAAGTGTATGTGTAGTATAATAATTAAATAATGTAATAAATAAGATTATTTAATTAAATAATTTAAAATTATACATCCACTGTAAAGTAAATGTATAATTTTAAGTTATTTTTCGAATCATTGAACTTCTTAACGATTATACCGCAAAGCCTTTGATCAAAGCCTTTTGCTAATACGTATTGTAGACAAATTACCTACAAAGAGAGACAGAGGAAGAGAGTATTATTGACATTACAATTTCCTTGTTGAGTTTGTGCCGAAATATATTTTTTATATTATATATTAATAGATTTTTTTAAATTTAGAAGAAGTTAATCGTAAATTTGTTGTTGTATACATACTTGGTTTTGGGAAGAAAATTGATGTAAATTAAGCTCACGTATAGGCTTCGAACGGTTGGGTATACGAATGTATATTTGAAATGCCTCGATATGAATGTATATTCGAAAACCTATCGCGATAAGAAATCAAATTGCATATGCGTTTTCATCCCCGAGAGTTAAATGCCTCATCACCACTTTAAAGGATCTCCCGCCTGTCACTAACCACATGAAACACAGCATCGTTATGCTGCAATCATACACCGAAATTCACTGCAGTCTTGTCAGATCTACCTATTTTTAAACGACTTCAAAAAAAAAACGAGGAGGTACTCAATTCGACTATATTTTTTTAATATGTGTTACCTCAGAATTTTTTTCTAAATGACCGATTTTGATGACTGATTTTATTTGAAAGCTGGTGCTTCTCATGTGGTCCCATATAAATTTGATCAAGATCCAACCAGTAGTTTTGTTTTGTCCTGAATAATGCATATTTAATTGACTTCGATTACATTGATGATGTTCTTATTTTATTTATATTGAAGACGGTTGTACAAATTTTTTAATTTTATCACGTGTGCAGCCAAAGATACTACAATATGGCTCTAGCGGGCGAGTTTAGTTCGTACATTTTATGGTTTTAAGAATATATCTGTGCATTCTTTTGATTACGAGAGAGAGGCTTGCAACCGTGTGATGGCGGCAAATCTACAAAGGCCGAACTCCATTTCACAATACAAGCGTTGCTAATGTCAGAGCATCGGTCCCCGACAGCGTAAGCAAATCTTGAGTGCGCTTTCTTGGAAATGTTTAATTACTTGGAATTGTTTGTGTGATTTGTTTTTTTTTTTTATATCTTCATCAAATGGTCCGTTCTTGTTAGCTTTTGCTTTTATGTAGGGAAGATTGGAATGTAGAAATTTCAACGGAATATACCCCATTAGGATATCCCCACGTTACAAAAACCACTTACAATCAGACAGACTTGTTACTCCAATTATATTCGAAGGAGAATCGGTATCCATCGCCTTTATTAAATCAGTCAGGAGGAAACACAAATCAGTTTTCATTATTGTTCGTAACGCATTATTTATTGTGCTATCTCAAACGAGCGTGGTTTTGTTGTAGCTATTTTAGTACGGGTAAATCCATCACAAATTGTAAACAAAAATTTATCGTCTGTAGAGGCGGTGAAAAACGTCGTGTGAAGATCAACACACCTGATGTAACGCATATGTCCAACAATTAATGGTGCAGTTACTCATACGTAGTGCTAAATGAGTGCTAATTTATTGATATAATTTAGAAGTTGAAGACATATTCTTAAATAAATAGCCTACCGGAGTGACACAAAAATTCAAATAACAGCATACACATTGCCAACTTATATGGAATAAAAAATTATTCTACTCTTTTTCTTTTCTATTTTAATTTTATATGATTCAGATTAATGAATCGTGACCATTAAAATAAATGCCGAATTCATGCTCAACTTCTTTTTTCTTTCTTTATCAGAGTGCACAAGTTGACTGTCGGACGCACACATACATATGTATGTTGTTGATAGCAAATTATTTGAGTTGCATATGTGTACGTTAGTGTGTGTTTGTTCAATAAGTTGAGCATGGTTTTGACTTGGTTTTTGGATCACTTGATGTACGCAGTGCTCCGTCTTTCTTTCGTTGTTGGACTGAGCTTACAACACAACAGTCAAATGTGACAGCGTGGAGTGATATTGGGACAGTAACTGAATTATATATTTCGGCACAAACTCAACAAAGAAATTGTAATGTCAATAATACTCTCTCCCTCTGTCTCTCTTTGTAGATAATTTGTCTACAATACGTATTAGCAAAAGGCTTTAATCAAAGGCTTTGCGGTATAATCGTTAAGAAGTTCAATGATTCGAAAAATAACTTAAACTTATACATTTACTTTACAGTAGATGTATAATTTTAAATTATTTAATTAAATAATCTTATTTATTACATTATTTAATTATTATACTACACATGCACTTAAGTGGTTTTTATCAACTGTACGGAACCCTAATAGCAAATAGACAAAAATTACTTTAATGAACTGAAAAGGATAAAATAACTTCAAATGTTGAAGTCTACTCCAAGGCATAGTGTAAAGAATTAATCAGTTTTCAAATTTAATCTTCACTTTTTACTTTTCATTTATTGATAATTTTTTAAAAGCTAAATGGGTCCAGGATTAACATATGCGATGGAATCCGATCCATCGCTTGTGTTAATCCTTTACTAAATAGGTGGAGCCGCGGGCAGAGGCTAGTTATGTATAAGATTTAGCAGCGTAAGGAAGTTCTATTTTTTTTAAATAATACTTGTAGCGCTATTAACATTTTTAATACTCCCGTTAACCGCTCCAAGTAGACTAAATTGCTTGTGCTAGGAGTGGTTCACGACAGTACTAGAAGGGCAGATTGGAACCCACGACTTTCCGGATTTTATATCCCACTGGTGACGGTAGTAGTGTTAAAAAAGAAGATATCTGAGTTTTCATTATTGTATCAGGTTAATTAGAAATATTTTATCTACTTATACAAATAAATAAAATTGAAGTGTCTGTTTGTAATGTCAAAATTACAGTGTTTTACTAAATGCATATGAAATTATAAACGGTACTTATAACAAAAATACACTTTTTAAAATTTTTGTCTGTGTTTGTTCCAGCTAATCTCCGAAACGGCTGGACCGATTTTGACGGCACTTTCACTGGCAGATAGCTAATGTCATAAGGAGTAACTTAAGCTACTTTTATTTTAGAAAAATAATTAGGGTTCCTCGCAATAAAATTAAAACCCTAAATTATACGCGGGTGAAGTCGCGGGGAACAGCTAGTATATCAATAAATATGTAACATTTAACATTTATATATATAGAAACTTACAGTGTGTGTTTGCAATGTTTCCAAACTTGTGATTTCACTCAAAGTAACTTCACTCATATCAGGTTCAGCCCCCACAAGTGCATCAGGAGTGATGTCAATAATCTGTATGGAGAGTTCTGTAATGGGCTCTGATTTTTTTTGGCTTGAACCAATTGTTTTGTGCTGCGTTTTGTATGGCTGAGGTGTTTTGTTAGTAGATTGTAAACGCACATAAACCGGTATCAACATAGTTCTCGGTGTTGATGTCGTCGCTTCACTGGATCCAATTTGTTTACCCATATCTCTTGTTGAATTTTCCTTTGCCCTTGATTCATTCCGTCCATTCCAGTTTAGTGCAGGGCTTAGTGATGATGGTTCTAGTATTGGTCCAATTTTTTGAGTCGGTTTTGATGTGGTGATAAATGTGGAGTTTGCCAGCATCAACTGCATCACAAGGTAGCACAGTGCCGGCTGCCATTGCTTCATTGTGAACACATGCTATATTTGGATGCGATCACTATTTCACATTGTTTTTGTTACCTGTTACTTGAGCTCACGTTAAAGATGGCGGGAAGAATACGAAATTTAATACATTTTTATAATTAACTGCAAATAACTAGTAAAAAAATGTGTGCAGTTCACATGCGGTAGAAGAGAAACCTTCAGAATACTAAACTTCGTAAGAATGCAGAGTAACAGGGGTAGGATAATTGTAAGGTTGCTTTATTATTATAATTGTTAAAAAAAATATTTCAAATTATATTATATATCATAGGAAACACTGTATACTGTATTCTATCTCTTTACCTCGCCAGCAAAAACCTATGGATGTATATGTCTGTTTCTTTTTAGTGTCGCTTTTCGTATCATCGAATATCAAATCACAACGATACTAAAGAAATGTCCACTTCAAAAGGGGTCTTGATATATTATATTATTACAAATTATATCTTTATGACTAAAGGTATATTTCATATCTATTCGAAAATAACAAACGTTGAAAGAAATCTTTCTCGGAATTATTATATCTAAGAGGTCTAATTATGTTAAGTGCTAGTTCCAATAATAATGTAAAGGCAATGTATACATTGACAAATAAATAAAGTACAATTTTCTTTCAGTAGCATCTAATTACCGTGTACCGTCTAATTACGTAGTAGTAGTGGGCGGTGTAAGAATATCGACTACCCCATATCGCCCCGTGGGTGTCCTAAGAGGCAACAGAGGGAAACAAACCAGGAGATGGGCAGCAGCGTCTTCCTTCTTGTTAACTCAAAATTATATAAAACCACAGTTGCCAACCTGTTTGCTAAGCGTGGCATCTATGGCGAAATCCTTCTTATGAGAGGTGGCCTATGTCCAGCAATGGACTTTTATAGGATGCAACGGATGGAATCAAATAAAAAAGTTGTTGTTTGTCATTCTGGTAATTAGAAAAAGACATGTAGGTCAAACATATTTATGAAAATATTATTAATTAAATTATTTTTAGAGTATTTAGTTGTTCTTTGTATAGTATTTAGTTTTGTTATTTGTTTTTTAAAACAACGAACAACTGTTAATTAACCTTTTTAACAAAAATATTAAATAGGAAAGTAAGTATTAGCTAATAATGGGAAAAAATATTTCACCATTTTTATCCAGGTGTTAGGATTCCTTCAGTATTATTATTAACATTAACAGCCTCTCCATGTTCACTGGACATAGAACTATCCAGAATGCACCAGCTAGTATGCATTTGTAATATTTGCCTTTTTTTGCAGACAGGTTTGTTTTTTTTATATTCTGCCACTAATCGAACGCCAAAATTTGTAACAAGCTAGGTGACGTTAGCACTATGTGAAAAAGATGCCATATGACTCCTTACACATTTTATTATATAAAACTATAAACTATATAAAAATCATAGTTGACACATGTGGTAAACTACCAAAACACTGAGTAATAAAGTTTTAAACAAAGATAAAATCTTTAAAAAACCTTGCAAAAATATTTTACGCATAGATCGGAACTAATATTTATAAGATTGAAGGTGGAAATTACGGTACAACATTTCACGCAACAATCAAATATCAAATTCAAGGACAAACATTTTTGGAGGTAAAGCTGGGCGGAGCACCCAGTCGGGAGCTGCCGGGAAACTGACGAACTCCGCTAGCCACGTTTCTGTTTCCTTACCACGTGTCTAACTCGCTTATATAAACCCGATGAAAAGTCGAAACGGTTTAGTAAAATAATTGTGACTGTCAAAGTATTTTCTTTTAATTTCTTTTTAATTTAAAAAATTTAATTTAAAAACAGTGACATTATGTTTCTTATGAAAGTCATCATAATTACTAGAAAAACAAGCTTTTAAAATATGTAAACAAGCCGATTTTTGGTCGGCACCTATGAAGTTATTAATTGCAATATAAGTGCTAATATACTATCTATTCGATGTCTAAATGTATGGGTGTGTGTCTGACATAAATTTAAAAATATTGAGATAAGTAAAAAAATTAATATATTTCGAGTGTATTATTGTGAAGTCTGATTACACATAAAACTTGTATTTGATGGTATCTGTATAGGTCTATGTGCATAAGTCATCTATGCTAATGTAGGACGAACGAATAGCTCGAAAGGGACATGTGCACGTCTTATAATTAACAGCAATTGCTTTAGAATTGGACTTCGATTACTAGTGGTGGTCTTTTCTCCATACAAACGGTCTCGTCTATTTTCTTTCAAGTTTATAGCAATGAGTTTTGACAGTAAAATAAATATCAACCTCTTCTATGTCCCTATGTTTTATTTTTTCATGATACATTACCTTTATAAGCATAAGAACCCTTACAAAATGCTCAAAATGTTTATTTAGATTACTGTCAACACAGGCTTAGTGTTCATAATGATAACTAATACTATACTAACTACTACAGAAAAAACACAGTGTATATTCTTCTTATTCAGTTTACGAAATATCTTTTAAATTGGTCCAATATTGGAGGAGGAAATGGTATAGACCAATCCAAACCAGACCTCGAATTATGCCTTTTTACTTAGGCTATTCAGTCGGATCTGCAGTTGTTCTTATCAAACGCCGAGCGCTCGCAGGGCGATAGCGATAGTTTTATCAAATATCTAATTTTCAAAAGTCTCTCGGCCTGCATTTCCTCTTAAGAGTTCCTCTTCCCAAAAGAAGAAAATTTCTATGTTATGTCTATTGATTGTTTAAGTTTTTCCACTTATTTTACAGATATTTTTTCGCATCGGAAAGTTAAGAATATAATATTATTTAAAAAGATACAACATATTAATAAAGGTTGTATACGAATCTAAATCATCACGTGAAATATGGTAGTAGGGGTGAAATGTTTTTGTTTATAGCGGTAACAGGTCGCTAAATTCACTGCTTTACATACACGCGGGTTTTTTACCAATGAGCTTTATAAGGGTCAATTTTAATTTACACCCCTTACAGAAAATTTTAATTATTCCTTTATACGTGTTAAAACTATAATGTAAAGGTGGAAGTTTATATCATATTGCTGAATCGGCAAAGATAAAGAGGGCAATTTTGAGTTGAAATGTTGACTGCGATGAGAAGTGGATCCTATACGACAATCGCAGGCGTTTATCACAGCGATTAGATCATGGTGTCCATGCCAAACAGTGTCCCAAACGAGAGGTTAGCCAGAAGAAGCTATCATGAAGATATCATAATTATAAATATAGCAAACACAAGACAAAAATCATGTCTAGCGTCCATGTTACACTTATACCGGTAGCTGTTGAGAACACTACGCTCGAAGTTGTTGATTAGTATGTGTATCTAGGACAAAAGTTTCGATTGGTTGATTCCAACATAGACCACGCGGTGAAACGCGAATCCAACTTGGCTGGGTAGTGTTCGGGGCACTGCGATAAATCTTCTTGTCTGATATTTCTAAAATTCTTAAGACGAAAGTGTTCGACCAGTGCGTGTTTCTAATGATGACTTACTGAACTGAAACGTGGTACTTCACGTTTCAGTTCAGTAAGTCATCATTAGAATGCTGGCCTCATGAGGTCATTCAGCGTGAGTTGGAAAGGGTTATGCTCGGAATACCTCTGCGTCATTAACATTTTTACGTGGTAGAGCCATGCTGCAGCTATATTAATAGTATAGTTGTAGCACGAATGGGTCGTCTCGACCGGGGAAAGACCACGCTCTCTCAAAATACCAGCGTAAAATAACAGCTTAATGCTGCCGTGTTTCGTATGGTGAGTGTAGAGAACTGGAGACCTATTTTACTGGAAAAGAGGCATTCTACTTTAGTCACGTGTGACAACGCATCTGCATTTTAATTCGCAAGCGAAGATAGATGTAGATGTCTATGGGCCACAGCAACCACTTACCATCAGGTGGACTGTGTGCTTGTTTGTCACTCTAATTCTATTAAAAAAAAATTAAGTCCGTAACGAGGATATCCACAGTAGGACAAGAGTAACTGACAAAGCGTATCACTATGCTAAAGTGGTCATATGGCTTAAAGAACCGACAACCGACGGGGAAGAAAGGCCTCGTACGGGCAAGCGCAGTGTTGAGCATTCGACCACTAGATGGAGTGACCACCTGAGGAAACGGCTCAGGATCGTATTTTGTAGTTATCTATGGGAGAGGCCTATGTTTAGGAGTGGATTTGTGATGCACTGTAGTAATAGTATTAGAATTTAACTATCCTAGCGATTACTGATGGGTGTTCTGGAATATGCATAGGTTCGAAAGTTATTTGAGGCCTTGTCAAGATGATTAAAAGTCTCAACGGAGACTAGCTATCTGCGAAGAAAAGGATTTTAACGCCCGAATGCAAAGGCAAGAACAGGTGCACCCTCCATTCCCTCACTCTCATTGTTCGATTGTACGGTAATTCGGCACAACTGGAGAGAGATCAGGTGCATGACCTATGGCTAAACTAAGCAGCGTTGCCACTTTAGTGATTTTGTCACCAGATTTAGTGAATTTATGGAGTGATATTCTGCAAAAAAATCACTAATATTATTTGATGGCTTTTAGTGATATTTATCAAATCTTGAAGAATTTAGAAAATACTTATTGGCAACCCTCTTTACATGTCGGTAAATACCCCAGTTTCATTTTTCAGATCCAGTGAGTGCTGAATACTGAGTTGGATATATGAATACTGAAAGGTAAGATAGTCTTCTCATAAAAAACTTAATTGGATAATGGTTCTGTCATGACTGGAATCAATAATTGCGTACGTATACCTACTTAAATTCTAGTCAGATGTGTTTGCCACTAATTGCAATTAGCTGTTTCACACGCTCCAGAGCAAACGTTACCTCGAAATATAGAGGTTCTCTTTACAGACACGTATAATTAGTTCTCACATTCACCTAACCGCTGTGGTGAGTACAAAGATATATGTGAGACAATAAATTGTGACAATCCTTTAAAAATATTGTGAAAACTGTGACCAGGATGATGTCTCGATAAAATAGTATTCATATTATCTACTTTGAGATTTCATTTTAAATAATTTAATAAATTGTAGGGATTTACTTAATTAAAAATATCCAAAAATCTTGGAAAATTTCAGAGCAGTTATGCTCTGGGATATTATTAGTGATAAATTTGTCTACAACACTGAAGCTAAGGCTTTACGTGTTTTCCGAGGCACAGAGGTGAAACATCGCCTATTTCCTGGCTCCGGACTGCTACTGAGAATATTTTAACAGAAAAACCCAGTAGCTGATTTTGGCCCGAACCGAGATTTGAACCAGAGAAAACACAATCTTTTTAGTTCTTCTTTCTTTTTTCTTTTCACTTATTATATTCCTAAACACAACAATGTTATTTTAAGTCAAGGCCTCATAGAACTTTTTCGAGGTGAAAAAGTTCTATGAGGTATAAAATAAAAAATGAACAACAACATTTCGCAAAAATTACTAACAATTCTATTTTTCATACTTATCTTCACGCACAATCCCTGACGGGGTAGCCAGAGAGAACAGATCGCCAAGTGTCACGATCCTTACATGCCTCTTTCGCTTCTTTCAGATTCATTATCTTCTTCATACATGCACGTCTAGGTATCCGAGTACTCTTGACCCTACCCTCTTCGAGCAATTTGCTCACATGGTCTTCGAAAGTTAGTCTCGGTCTACCTCGACACCTTTTAATATTAACTTTCGCGCTATATATTTTCTTCACCATTCGGTCTTCACTCATTCGCTCAACGTGCCCAAACCACCGAAGCACGCCCTTATCAATTTTTGTGATAAGGTCATCTTTCAAACCTGCCATATTGCGAATCTCTTCGTTTCGCTTTCGGTCGGCCATGGTAACGCCGCACATTTTACGAAGAGATCGCATCTCCACTGCATTCAACTTGCTTTTGTGCTTCTTCTGGCATACCCAGGTTTCGCTGCCATATAACAAAGTCGGTACCAACACTGCGTTATGTATTGCAAGGCGTGCACTTACTATTTTTCATTACATTACTATATTTCGTCTATTTTTCATGATTACGTGAATTCCACAAATAATATCTGAATATTACTTATAAAATGTCTATTCTAAGTAACGATAACTAGAAACAACGCTTCTAATCCATTATCGTTACTTAGAAGTTTTCACTTTTCTCCCTTTTTTCTTTGCCCTGGGGCAAAGCAGTCGGTACGTAAATATATAACTAATATAACAGATGAGTTTCTCGGTTATATTATGTATGCGAATGTTTGTGAAGATGTTTGGATGTTTCTTACTGAATCATCAGCCTAATTTTGTAATTTTTACGTATAGCTAATTTGTATTTAATTAGGATAAACAGTACTAATGTTGGCACTCCTTCAATGATTGGCACTTTGCTATTTTAATCAGAATATTAAGAATGTTTTCCTTTTTCTATATCATAGCTACACAGATATTGCTAAGATATATACTAATACACATTTATATTTAAAGCATCAACTATTTTCCTATAAGGGCTGTTTTAAAAATTTGTGCGGACAAATCCGTTAAAATTTAACAAAAAGTTAAGGTTTTGTGGCTAGATTTAGAGACAAAAATGTGATTTTCAGGTAAGTTTATATGCAAGTTTCTGTCTATTTTTAACAATTTACGTCATTAAACCATATTAAACGTTATTTTATCGTTGT